CAATTAATATCAACTTGGATGGAGTAAAAAGTTTATGTTGCAGTGTGCCTAGTATTATTAAATATTTCTGTGACTATAAGTTTTAAAATTAGATTGAAAATGTACTTTTCGTGTTTTTTTTTTTCAAAGTATAATCTTTTACACCATCGTCACTATCAAAATGTACGTCATGTTCCATTTCCAAAAGAACTACATTTGGTGGTCTCAACGTTAACGCAGTCAATCTCAGATAATTTTTTATTAACTTTAGTTTAAAAAAGTTTCTCCTCAGCATTATCTTTTATTTAATTTTAATTTTTATTATTTTTGTTATGACAATCTTCAAGTTTGGACTCAATTACGTGTTGAATAAACCCGTAATAGCCGGACTTAATAAGCTCTTTTTACAGTCTGCGGCTGTTGGATCTGCAACGCACGCAGACGTGCGTGCTCCTGTTGGAACTCTTCTGTACTAATGTCCTAACGAGCTTGATCTAAGGTAAATTCCGGCCCAATATTACTGCAGGCATATTTTTGCGCCATATTTTGCAACTGTTGGAATCGATCATAAATTTCAGCAGTTACTCTGTCTTCTGAAGTAAACATTGTTCGCCTCAATTCGTTCTCGTCCGATAACCCAACATCTACATTTTCGTCGCCAAAACATCCATCTCTAGATTCGTCTTGGGGGTTCAAAAGAAATTTCAAGCTCTATACATAAATTTTTAGCATATTGTAGAGAGTCGTTCACAAATTCCTCTCGTTTTTCTCCCTTTTTTACTAAAAACGAGGCATTCCACCTTAGTCCTCAGAGGTGACAACGCATCTGCGTTTTCATTCTTAATCGAGGATAAATGTAGATGTCTATGTGCCACAGCATCCACTTACCATCAGGAGGACTGTGTGCTCGTTTGTTGCATAACTCTTATTCTATAAAAAATTGATTTTTTACTTTAAATAATATAATTTTGGTTCAACTTTTTTATAGAATAAGGGTGGAAAACGAGCACACAGACTACCTGATGGTAAACGGATGATAGACGTCCACATCTATCTTCGAATAGGAATCAAGATGCGTTGTCACCCCTGAGAACTAAATTAGAATGCCTCTTTTTCAGTAAAAAGGGTCTCCAGTTCTCTAAACTCACACTATGAAACACAGCAACATTGAGCTATTTGACGCTGGTATTTTATCATAGCGTGGTCCTTCCCTGATAGAGTCCACATTCGCACTCCAACCGTAAAATAGCTGCAACACGGCTTTACTACGTAAAAATACGAAATTAAAAAATACAAATAGCATAAATTTTTGGCATGTTTGATGAATTTTTCTTTTGAGTCTGTGAAGAAGAATGTACAAATAGGTTGCATTTATATAAAATATTAACATTTTTTTTTCTAAGTACGTCAGCGCGCACGAACCGTTCCCAGCTCGGGCATGTACTATATTATAGTTAAAGGGATTACGCGGCACGCGCAACCCTTCTCTAATGCGCCGGAAAACGACGCGGGCCGTTTGAACAGAATTGAAAATGCAAATACTTGGCTAATCCAACATGGCGGCCGCGCCTGCAATCGATAGCGCGCCGCCTGCACTCTGCACGATGCAACGCCTTATCTCACTAACTCACAGTCCTGCCCGAGGTCAGTCACTTCATATGCATGAGAACTGAGCGAATCACACTTCTGATCACCAAAAATTAAACGATGAGCGATTAAATATTTTACGGACGGACGAACTATTCGATATCAACTTAACGTCAATCTATTGCTGCTATAAATGTACCGATTTTTATTACATTATTTATTAGTTGGGGTTGTGTCAACTAGCTCGCGGTTCCGGTTATAACATTTCCACTGTGCTGTAAACATAGTTGAAATGTTATAACCTGTATCGTATGAAAACTATGATGATGTGTAGTGATTTGTATTTGTTTGTAAAGAATAATACAATTTAACAAAATGTGGCAGTATTCCTTCAGATACGTTTAAAGAAATACATTATTATTGTCAGTGAATATTTAGGTTTGTTTTTAAACGCATCAGAAATAAAGTAAGTTGAAATGGTTTTATGAGTTTTTAATATATATGATAAGATTGGAAAACGAGCACACAGTCCACCAGATGGCAAGTGGTTGCTGTGGCCCATAAACATCTACATCTATCCTCGATTACGAATCAGAATGCAGATGCGTGGTCACCCGTGAGGACTAAGATGGAATGCCTCTTTTCCAGTAAAAAGGTTCTCCGATTCTCTACCAAACGAAACACAGCAGTGTTCAACTGCTATTTTACGCTGGTGAGAGTGCGGTCCCTCCCCGGTCCCGGTCGAGCGGACTCCATCGTGCCACTACTTAAGATGTTTTGTTTAGTTTAAATTTAGAAAGCTTAAATTCTAATAATACATCCATAATTTAATTTACTATGTTCCGTATAAAAATGAAATGTGTTTTATACCTTGTTCTAAGAAAGAGTAGACAGAGGACTCTTGGATTTAATGAATATTCCCATAGTTACCATTGATTGTGTTCATCACAATATTAAAGGTAACATAATAGCAAATTAAAATAAATGACAAGGAACTTAATTTTCACGCTATAAATACTAATAATATTCACCATATATATAATAAAATATAGGGAACATTATGTTTCAATGATAACGTTAACAAGTGACATAAAATTTAAAAATGTTCATACTCGGGAAATTAATTTTATTTGGGAAGTAGGAAAAATCGGCAGCTCATTGGATTGCTATTGGTAGCAATGGCTTATGTATTTAAAGTACACATTTGCATTGTGAAAATCTTTTTTGTACCCATTGCGCGACCAATTTACTCATGTAATATGTTTCATTAATGGATTAAATATACATATATATATATATATATATATATATATATATATATATATATATATATATATATATATATATACACAGTTTACGAAGTTCCAAAACAAAGTTAAATATTAATTAATATGGATAGTTGCATATTTTCAAAGTAAAATATTGTCATGTGTAGTATGGAACAAAAGACTTTTTAATTTTAATTTCAATAAATTAAAGGATTATAAAAAACAAGAATGTTGCAACCCCTCCCCTAGATAGAGCTACACATTAGAGGGCGGCAACTCTCGTAGCTGCGTAGCAGCGTAGTACCATCCACTACGTAATCCAGTGCATTGGCGACTAAATTAGCTTTAATTTAGCCCAGAACAAAAATATTTTCTGCATTAAAATTGTAAAAGTAAGATCCGTAAGGGAGTGAAGAAACGCTTCCTGCTCGTGCGCTGTCGACGGAATTTGTTTTTGTGTTTCCACTAGGATTTCCCTAAAGTTTTAACTAAGAATTTAGAAAAAATATTAACTAACTAGTAATTTTTTCAATCATAGAGTATACGTCTGTCTTTCCATCCGATTATAATGCGGTGTTTTCAAAAACAGGTTGGTTTGGCTTTTGTTAACTCGGCCCGCTCCACCTTCTTCAGCTGCATCACCACTTACCCATCACGTGGCACTGCAGTTAGACGCTGGCATGGAATAGTAAAAAAATAAATACGCACTCGTTTAAAATTTCCAAAACAAAACAAAGAGAAAGGCTTGGGTCGCTGCTCGCGGACATCGCTCGTTCCGGCGCCGTTTACGTAAACATGGTTTGTTCAGCTCGAGAGCACTATAAAGGAGAGCGAATCTTTTATTCAAAGTAGCAATACTTTGGCGCCTAAACAAACATTCGCCGCGGTTCGTAAATGCATTCTGATTGCGATGCATGAACTGGAGCAGCTTCAAAGCGACTGGACCATGAGGACGGTGGGTGAGAGAGGGGGGGAGGGGGAGGGTCGCGAATTAATCTTCCTCCAGCGGGCGGTGTTTGCGCACATTAGCATTACAAAGATCGTCCGACTCGAAGCGAGGCTCTCGACTGGGCATTTCAAGTTCAAATTGTAAAGCAAAGGAACGGCTCCCGGAGATCCAGGGAACGAGCTAATTAAGCAGCATTTTGACAGTTAATTTGTAGGTATAACGAATTTTTACACGGTTAGTATTCTATCTGTATACTAAAAAACCGAATATATTGCCCGACTAAGACCATACTCGTCTATTTATGGCATTTAAAACCAATTGGGAAAAAAGTAGAGAGCGCTATTTTAAGTATCATTAAGAATGCCAATATCATATCAGGCAAATTATCAATCATTTTGCTATAAATAAAAATCTGTTAGTAGTAGAAGTCGTTAAAATTTTTAACTACTTTGGACTATAATACAAAAAAGGTTTCTGCACTACATTGTAAAAATGTACAAAACTTTCTATTAATCTAAATTTATAAATTATAAAACGCAATTTCTGGCGAATAACATGCTTGCAATATTATATTATATTGCATTAAAACATTTGCGATATTGTTTTCTGTATATCTCATAGACTTCTCAACGTAAAACTCTCAGAAAACGACCGTTGCGTTGCTTGATCTTGAGGCTTAGCAAATGAATGATTAGGAACTGACAATAAAAACTGCTACAACTGTTAAAACATATCGTGTAGGTTTATTTGCCCGCGCAACAATAGACGTCGCCACAATAAATGCGAGTTTTTTAACTTTCCGTTTCGGGAGTAGATCCGTGCGGGCGCGACGCAGGAGCGACGACGAGCCGCACGTTCCGTACAACTTCTAACGAGCTTTTTTTTAATCGAACCCGATATCGGAATTCGCGCATCGGTTAGCCGAACCCGTCGTTCCCCTTTCCTACTATAAAAAAATTAAACAGCTTTTAAACGCATCGCGCTCAGCGAAAGGGAAAAAACTGCATCTCAGGTAATCGAAATAATAGCGAGGCGCGCGAAAAAAATTCACTAAGGGCGGAAAAAGAAACGGATTCGTACAAAAAAAAAATTGGAATTTTTAATTCGCCACGTGAGGGGTGCGAGGAGTGCGGTGGTGCGGGGGGCGGGGGTGGCAGTGGGGAGGCTGCGCCGCGCGCGCTCGCCTTCAGTTGCGTTCCGCTCGCCGCCGGCTGCGGATGTCCGGGTGCATGTTCTTACGCCGCGCAGAGCCGCCGCAAGCGATGGTGCTCTCAGCGTGCGTGCGCGCCGCCGCCCGCCCCTACTGCGCCACTTACCGTGAGTTTTTGCTATGAACCTTACACACAATTGATTGCAAATGTACAACTAATTCAGTAGGATTTCAATGTAAACTCTATTAAAATGAATTTCACATGTTATTTTATATATACAATTATGACGATGACTCCGCAGTGCAATGTTAATATACATGTAGTTAGTATATCACTAGGAATATACGTTTCATTATAAATAATAAAACTCTACATAGAGTTAATAAGATTTTCCAGAAGGAAACTTATTCACATCTACAGACGCTCGTCGTTTATTACTTCAATGACAAATACCAATTGACAAAATTGTCACAGTTACTAAACTCTTTGAAAGTCTCATTTGTAATTAAGCTTATTTTCACTATTTTCCGTTTTTTTAATAGAATTTTTTTTAAACTTTAATGTGTTTATTTTGTTAATATAATCGCGTACAAAGGTATTTCCAATAACGTGATAGCTAGTAGGTATACATTACTTGGAATGTTTGCCTATGCTTACCATTGGTCCTGCGGCCTGGTGAATTCAAAACCCTCGAAATGGTGATGTTGCACCCCACGGGCTAAATAGTTTTACGGCTTGTCTTTTAATTAGCGGAGTTGCACCATCTGCAGGAGAGGTGGCATCTCGAGCAACATTCGTTATTTTTGTCCATCCCACGACAAATAGGATTCAATAATAAAACTACTTTTGGAATTTAATAGCATTTAATTTTATCTTATTTTTAATTCCCCGTGTTTGGTAATAGAAGTTAAAATTATTTACGATAAAATGACTAAAGTAGGATTTTTTCAATATTATTCCGATAGAGAAGAAAGGTTGGTGAAAGCTACGTGCCGGTAAGCTTAGAGTAAGGCCACTTTCCAGTAGATGAAGTGAGGACTTAGTAAGACATCTAGGTGAGCCGCATGCTTCTTTGTCGGCACTTTTATTAAAACAATGATAGAAATGGATAATCGATAGATAGAGTTGGCTCTGAGGCGTGGCGTCTTATTTCAGTTTAGAGTTGCTCCTTGCTGGTAATGTGGTACTAGCGCATGATGATAATAGGCTCCTAGCCAATGTTTGCTTACGGCGACAATATCCCAATAAAGTCGGCAGCTGTCAACTACGCAGGATCTTATAGTGCCACAAGTGGTGCGCCTGAACAATAAATAGCATGTAGAGGCAATCACTCGTCATCGAATTAAATTGGACAATGACTAGTGAGAACAATACTACTTCACACGCAAAAACCGACAATTTGCGAGTATGCACAGATTTTGCCGTCGGCTGGGATTGGAAATCAGGATTCGAATTAAAGTTAGTTAAGACTGTCGGGCCACACGTTCTTAACCATGTTGTACATAATTAAAACAGCCATATGTTAAAAATTAGATTAAATGAATAGGTTAAATTAGATTAAAAAAACATCTAAAACAATACGCATTTATCACGAGCTGTAATGAACCCAGTGAGAATACTGTGATCATCACAGCTCATAATCAATCATAGTCATGAAATTATTTTAATTTTATCAGTTCTTAAAACGACTGTATTCAATTTTAGATTTTTCAGACACTCGGAAATTGGTTAAAACTGAATTGAAAAAAAAATCCATTCCATTATTATATACTTAAGTACTTAAGTAAGTTAAAAATGTTAGAAAACTTATTTATATAATATACATCTTTCTTTATATAATATTTGTTTATAAAAAGTATACGTAGATACAAATAATAATACGTCACTTTTTAGTAAACTTGACACCAGGTCTATTTTATCTATTCAGTAACTCTATACGATTTTACTGCATTCGCAGAAGGATTATTCAATCAAGCGATGTAAAAACGAACAACTGCCGGGTTTGTTAACTTAAAAAACTATCCCCGTCCGATCCACCCGCACCTACTTACTTCTGGCAATTGTGCATCGTTTCACGAAAAAACTCGCAGAGATGACGATTCAATAAACGAACCATAGGCAGTACGAATTTATCGTTTTTTACAAAAAATGAAGCATATTGCAGTGCGAACGCACACCCTCGTCTCGCGGATCTACAAACATTTGAATGAGCCTGCGCCGCGCCGACGTAAAGCCTTTTTATTCGCAACATCGAAGTAAGACATGGATTATCTGCAGGTACGCGGTTCCCACGGAACTCGTTCTGAATTTTTTTATATTTACATCCACGTCTAATACAGTTTTATTAAAAGAAATTAATTAATCAAAATTCATCTCGAACTTGTGAAAAACACAGACTCAGCTTTAAAACTATCCGTTGCCCGCTGGAAATCCCTACGTAGCAGCGAAGAGATTTATATTCAGAAGCTAAAAGTTTATGCTTGTTAATTTTACTTTAAAGTTATTAGTTTCTCTTAAAAATTATGATTTCAACTAAGCAGAAAAACACAATTCATTTCGTAATTTTACGTGTATTAAAGTATCAAACGGTCTTATAAAATGCAAGAGTATTTTGAATTATTTCAACGTTTGCTTTTTGTTTATCGTGAAATAAAATTAAATCAGTTGTACTACGTCGTAGCGCAGCTCTACGTGCAAAATTCTTATCAATAATAATAACTGCATTCGTCACGTACGATTGATTCAATGCAATTAGAAAAAACTAACAAATGTATAATTTTGTTTTTTATGTTGTGAATGGAACCACTGTTTATCGTTTTTATAAATAGTTTTTCCCATTCGTAGAACAAGTTACTTCTTTCGCGCCTTACGTGTATCGGACTGCTGCGGGTGTTAGGGACGTCAGCGTTCCACGTTCCGATTATCCGATTAATCGTGCCGCTAATTACTTAATCTGGTTACGAGGTGTCCTCCGGTGACTCCCGAATAACGTGCGACTGTTATCCTAAGAATTGGATTTCGAAGTAATCGAACACTCGCTGCACAATATATGGTTGCTGTGTAATTAATAATTTTAAACTTTTACCGGATTAAAATAGCGCAAGGGTGATTGATGTTTTTTATACAAACAAACATACAGTCCACTTTATGGTAAATTAATGTTAAGATCCAAATACAAACAGTCCAATTGATGTTAAGCTGATGTTGTGCCCGGCTAGAAATATTAGTCATTCTCGATTAAGCAAATGGATATGTAGATGCATTTCACAAGTAAAAAGGTCTCCTGTTCCTAAAACTCTGTACTCTGTAAAAATGGCGACCTCTCCCGGACGAGCCGATATATACGTGCTACAGTCATAAAAAATTGCAACGAATTTTAAGTAACAAACAATAAGAGATCAAATAGACGTCCTGATTTTTTATTGACCGAGAACATTCAATAACTAACACCAGCATTTAATTAAACAACGTGTTAACAAAATGCTTGGTACTTCCAGTTTTAATGTTTTTTTTTTATTTCCACGCATCACTCGTGAACGTCGCAAAATTTTCTGGTGATATTTTGAGACGCTCACAGGTGATGCTTTTGTCGGAAATAAATGGCGGAATACCTAGGTTAAATCTAGAAAGGTAACAGGAAAGTATACCTAAAACATGAACTATCGAATAATGTTCTAACTAATTCGCCTGTCATGTGTTACATTTGAAGGTAAATATTTACTATGCAACTGTTTGTTGTCCTTAACAAAAAAAAGACCTACGTCAAGCAGTACCCCATCAGTTGGTTATGATGGAAATGTTGAGTTAGAGTTCTAAAAATTAGCAGCATGGTCATCATCAAGTCATCAGATCAAACAACTAGTCAAGTCTGTAGGATTTAAGTAAATAGAACATAAGTGTGCACAAAAATAATGCATATTATTATTTTTTTAGAAAAAATTTAAGGTCATAAAGAAAAAATCTTAAATGGGACACATATTATCTGACATATAAAAATCCATTTTGTTTGTTCGTATTGTATGTACTGCTACAGTGTTCATCAGATTGCGCTAAAACTTTGTCAACTTATTTCTTGCATTTGCGCGAAGGTTATAGGCATAGTACAATTAACTTATAGTACCTAAGTAGGTGGCGGGCGTATCGTACAGACAAATTAATTGGAAAGTTATATACAATCATTATTATCATTCCTATAACAATACGAAAATATAAATATTCGAAAGTTAAAACGATATTTCCACAATTATTTCTTCTGCGGCAGCAGTGCGCCGGGAACCGGCTGGTATAAAATAAGTTTTTCAAAAAAAAAAAATTCGTATCTAAATATTAAACGTTTCTACATGGAGAAATAACAAGCGCAGCCGGGTGAACTTCACTGACAAGACGTAAGGATTCATTTATGATTTTACAATATATTATAGCGTAAATAGAATAGAATAGAATAATTTATATGCAATATGATTACAAGAACCCCCTCTATCCTGGGAAGAACCAGCAAGAAACTGCGAAATTTTTTAACGTTAATTTCAAAGTTACAGCCCACTACTGGGAACAGGTCTCATTCCACAAAGAGCCTATCGTGGCGGACAATTCCTTGCCCCTAAAAGGCAAGGCAATGCGTGTTGGCGGACTTCACATTTTTGAAATATTTTATTTTTATTTCTCAGATCTTTCAGATTTTGCAGGTTTCCTCACGATGTTTTCCTTCATGTCGAGTATGTGGTAAATCAGCATTTAAAAGTGCAATTACAATTTCATTCATGCTAGCGGGTATCGAACCTGGGTTACCGCGTACTATGAAATTTGCAGCGTTCGTGACGTCTAAACGTTAATTTACAATATAATAATTTATTATATTTTAAGCCTCTATTTTTTCCTGGTAATTTATACGAAGTAGTAGGAAAATGTTGATTATTGTAGTTCTCTGCATGTAAAATACAATATTATAAATTAAAAAAAAAACGTAAATGCGAAGACATTGTGTGATTGCAACGCCAAATATCCCCCCGTATGAGGCAAGCTATGGGGGGGGGGGGGCTGTGCCCAACTGTTGACCTGGGAACGATGAATCGCATCTATTTCCATCATTTCGTATCTATACAAGTAATGAGACTTCATGTTGACTGTATAACTTTATTGTTACAGAGGAGTCTGGTGACCTTATCAAGTCACCTTCGCCACCGCCCAGTCATGGTAAGTCCCTTGATTTTCTCTAACCTTACTAAACTTCTTATTTATTCCCTACGCTTGTGCACTTTTTGCATTGGTTTCGTGCCTGATTTAATTGCAGCTACTAATAATAATAATTTCAACTGGGCAGTTAAAAGAAAGTTAAGTTATAATAAAAATAAATATCAGTCCCATCAAATTTCAACATTTCAAAAACAAGGTTCTAAAGTTTATATATTTAGTATAACGTTCTCGGCATAATTGCCAACAAATATCTGAAAATGATAGCGGCAGTTTCTTTACTCTGGGTTCACACGAATATTTAAATACGATTAAAATTTGATGACTTTCGTATATACCGCACTTTAATTAATGTATGTCCGATGATTGGCCGAGACCAAGTAATAAAATAAAATATATTTTTTTAATAAAAGAATAATAAATATTCGATAAAAGAACACAAACATACGACTCAAATTGTCGTATCAAAAATCAACACAATCATTTTTATATAATAAACCATCAACCAGCCTCCGTTCAAAATGTGTACGAGACTGAAATCACTTTCGCAGTAATTGTTTCGTTGTATTCATGCTACAGGAGGGAGCAGCTGGAAAGTTGTGTCGTATTGGAGAAGCAAGTGCCGTCTCTTAAAAGACACCTTTCGCGGCACGCGCCGGAAGGATTAAAGGTCCGCGCCACGCGTTCAACCCTTACACGCGCCGCCGCGAAAAAAATCTTACCTCTCTTACCCCTTTAGATCGCGCTTTAAAGAAAGTGATTGCTTGCGATTGTATATTCTTCTTATGGTGATCCCTCGACTCCAACTAAAATAAAACTTATTTAAAATCCTACAGAATTGAAATAGCAATTTAACTCCTTTCAATAGCATTATTGCTTTGCAATACTCATCGTGTACTTTTATTGCATACTTACTAATAGGTCCTTACATACAAAATTAGCGTTTTGTATGGGAAAAATATAAAAATCTTTTTTTTTGTAAAATATATTTAATTAATCAAAGTATGCACCGTTGTTATCTATGCACTTTTGCCATCTCATATGTAGTTCATTGATCCCTTTACTAAAAAAACATGGGGGCGAGAATCAATAAACTCTTTGAAGGCGGTTTGGACTGCCGCATCGGAGTTGAATTTTTTTCCTTGTAAGAGGTTGTCCAAATTCCGGAAAAAAAGGTAATCTGTTGGAACAAGGTCCGGAAAGTACGGTGGATGTCGCAGACATTCCAATTGTAGCTCATCTAACTTAGTGGCTGTTATGCAGTGTGTTTAATTCTTAATTTTCCACTTTGGTCACCGGTCGTCCACGGGGTTGGTTCTGAAGGTCGAAATTTCCAGAACGAAAACGTTTAAACCAAAAACGTACCGTGTTTTCTTTTGCGACACCAGCACCGTACGTATCATTAATCCTTTTAGCTGTTTTTGCAGCACTGGTGCCACGTTAGAACTCGTACTCGTAAATATACCGATATTTCATGTTTTCCATTGTGCGGTAATAAGCGACGCCAAAGAAAAAAATAATGAGGAAAAACAAATGAATGGCTATTTTCAACTCAAATGTACCAGCGAAATGAATTTATACATTTGAATTTTGAATTCTTAACAAAAGAGGAGATAGTTCAGATCAAAGTGGTTAGTACCACAAAACGCTAATTTCATATGTAAGGACCCAATATTAAAGTGGGTGCTTACTATAAAATTATAGAGTAATAATTACTCGTTAAAACATCTTTATTTGGTATTTAATTAAACTGTGAGACGTTTTGTCTAAAATATACTAACGATGTAATTATTTTTTCATTTCAATATAAAATAATGAACATGAGAATTAAGTGTATGAATATATATTCAGAAATGAAGCATTCCGTAAACAATTTACAACAATCTCGCCATTATTAGATTTAAGAAATAAATGATTATTTATTATACAGCAGCTTCGAGTAGAAGTGATTTCTTTAATTGCATGCACACTGTCTGCAGTATTTCCACGTAAGCGTTGTAATTAACTTCAATTATAATTGGATTCTTGATTTTTATTCATTAGTGCACAAGTATTAATTACCTATTCTTATCTATTCTGTTTCTACTGTTTAAGTGTCAGAGTAATTTTGAGTTTTTGGAGTAATGATGAAATTCCTGAACGCCTTAATTTTATTTTGTCACTTCACTTTACGAGTTGAAAGCGAAACAATGTTTCAGTGCGGCGGGGCGGGCGGTGTCGGCGGCGCGCATTTGCATCCAATATCCGGCGACCGGCGAACAGCCACCTCCTATCTAAAGTGTTCAATACAAATACGACATTTGCTTATGTCATTATATCTCTTAATGTAAAAAATTGAATAACGAAATTGCAAAACTCTCCGACTAATCAAGGCTCAATCAACTTAACAAAACGAAATATGTAGCGAGTTTGTAATAATAATGTGTATCTTTGGTCTAGTGTTCCTAAACGCAGTTGCTGTCGGGCCGCGGTTGGGTTAAAACCTGTTATTGTGCTTTTCTGTCAAGAACATCTCAGTAGCATCCCGGAGTCAGGAAGTTGGCAGAGTTTTCACGCCCCCCCTGCCTCGGAAAGCACATAAATCCATTGGTCCTGCGCCTTATCTCTCTCCGGTCATGTCGGATTACCGTCACATCGGACTATGAGAGTGAGGAAAAAAGAGTGCACCAGTGCTTATCATACACTCCGCTGGCCGCCGTGACTGAAATTCGGTCTAGCTAGGGGACATTATTATTATTTTGTATGTTATACCAAAACAGTAGACAAAATTTAATATAACACTGCAACGCACCTGTTGGAAAATTTAACTATTATTAATTTAACATTTCTTAATACTTTATTTCATTTCGTAATAATAATTTTTAAAGTCATTTATAATCTGAAACATGGCTCTTTATCAGCATACTTGTATAAGTAGTGTACAAGCTATGACAGTGAAGTCATTGGTGAAGTTTGCTACTAATCCAAAAAACAGATAACCATCTTGTTAAAGCACACAAGCTTGAGAAGTTAACTCACTAGTTCCCTTCTTAGCTTAAAATAAAGCTCATGTCGTTAGTAGCTTGCAAGCTTTCTAGTACTAGCTTAACTAAACTAGCCACGTGTAACCTGAGCATAAATCAAGTGGATCTTTTACGTTACGTGAAAAATATACGACAATTATAATCATAATTCAAAAAAAAAAACAGTAACAGCTTAAAAACGATAAAAACTTTTCTCTTCACACAGCAGAGCACCAGTTTCTTCTCATTTATAACATTTAACAATCATAATAATAGTTACAGTTATATCTAAAAATTAAAGTTATGATATTGGTACACTTTATGATTAATAACCAACTGTAACAATTTCCCAGATGAATTTCACGAATTAAATTGTACTCTCAACAATTGTAGAGGAAGAAATGTATCTAGGGTAATTATCTAACATAGTAAATATATCTAGGGAATTGAATAAGTTTCTTATGGTTGATAAAAAACTGATTTTGACGAAATAAACTAGAACGTGGATAAATGTATTAGAGCAAGGAATTAATTCAGTGCTCAACTCACACCATTTAGACTTCAAAAGCATAATATATGCCATCTAACTTTGTATTATCACATCATCAACACTGGACCAACTACTTATGCCTAGAAGTGGGATAATACTAGTAGTTTTATAACTTTTGTCTACGAGAGTGATATAAATTTAGGAACATGAGACATTCGTTTTAGCTTATAAAAAAGGTTGGAAACCTAACGCTGATTTTTTATTGGCCCCACGAGTTGCATTCGTCTTCAACTTTGAAACCAACTACCCTGTACTTCTACTTATAAGAACAATCAGTACACACGAACCCTATGAAAAACATGTTAACGTGACGTGAACGTCTACGTGGTAGAACCATGCTACAGCTTTATTGTGGTTGTAGCACGAGTAAGTCGGTTCGATCGGGGAAGGACTACGCTCTCATATTATACCAGCATATAATATCAGCTCAATGCTGCTGTGTTTCGTATGATAAGTGAGAAGCGGAGATCCTTTTTACTGGAAACGAGGTATTCTATCTTCTCAGGGGTCACAACGCATCTACATTTTGATTGTTAATCGAGGATACATGTAGATATCTGTGGGCCAAATCATCCGCTTACCATAAGGTGAACTTTGTGCTCGTTTGTCACGCTTAATCTATAAAAAGTGATGTAATTCAGAAAACTAACTAATCGAAGGTTAAGACAAAAAAACGACAAAATAAAATTATTAAGTAAAGGTCAATTTTGATTTTCAATCACAAAGAAATGAAATCAACAGAAGCCTAACCCCAAGGGTGAACCAGAATTAGAAAATATTTTTAATTTTGAGGAATGCAATGATGGAACGGATTGAGAGAAGTCATTCAGCTGAAAGAAGATTCTTTAAAAGAAGATAGTGGTATGGCATTTAGTTTACTCCTGGCTTGAAATACTCAACGTAGAAACGAGAAACAGCGTGAAAAGTGCGAGGTATCTCGTACTGCAACCGTCAATTTGTCGAGCAAGCCGAACAGTCGTCAGACCAAGGCAAATCCTGGGTGATGAAGAAGACAAAGAAGTAAGAGAAAAGAAGAACTTAAGTGTTATCACAATTAAACTTTCATCATTATAGCCCCTGGAAAGTCCACTTCTGAATATAGGCCACCCCATACATTGTTACGTAAATTTTAGTATTTGCTTATTAAACTTTATCTTGATCTATCTATTTAAAAGATATTTATTTTGGTTAAAAATATTAATTTAGTAATTCAAATATTCAAAGATAATCAAAGATAAATAAAATATTCTATAACAAAAGCGGTGAACAAAGAGTACTGTGTCTACACTTATACTACATGTGTATGCATGTGTGCAATCCATACTACACCGAAGTGTTTGGCGATGAACACAATTTGCATTGTGTTGCAGATGGGTCGGCGAGTGGCGAGGGCGAGCAGAGCGGCGATGAGCGGCCGCCGTCCGCGCCGCCGCCGCTGGGCGCGCTGCCCGCCCACGCGCAGCTGCCCGCCGCCAGCGCCGCTGCCACCGCCGCCACCGCTGCCGTACTGGTCCGTCGACACCTTGACCATTCTCGTAGCTCTCTTTCTTTCTTAAGATTCTTAGTACCCGGCGTTAGGTAGATGGACGAAAATATTTAGAATCTAACCGACTTAAAAAACAGAAGGTTCACATTTCATCCCAATCCTCTTCTACACATTATTTAAAGCAATAACTTATAACTTTTTTGAATTAACCAATTTTCCTAATTCTTTATCCAAAACTGTATACCGATACAGTATTTTCATATTGAAGCATTTTTTATGATAAATAGAACCTTCAGTAATTCAGAATTGTTTGGCATTTTTAATTCTATTGTTTATTAATTTAGTCTATGTTCACAGTTTCTAATATAATAATAATGCTCCACTTCTCAATTAAACTTCTTTCATTTGGGGTATTGAGCACCTGCACGCATGATAAATCAAAAGATCTGATCTCTCTTGAAACTTAAAACTAACTCTCCTTATTGCTTCAGCAAGTTTCGGAATGCTCAGTGTCGACATATCGAGTGATGTGAAGTTTCGTGGTCACTTCGAAGAGAAGGCCATACTGGCCTCTAAAAAGTTTGGCGTGCTCAGCAGAGCGGGACAGCTTACAACTTTACAAGGCACAGATTCAGCTGCATATGGAATACTGTTCTGATCTCTGGGCTGGGGATCCCTAGTTCCAATCTTTTTCCATTTGATCATGCATCCAGCAAAGAACCGTTCGAATCGTCGGTGACCGAGCTCCTTTCGATCGGCTTGACTCACTGGCACTACGAAGAGATGTTGCATCTCTACACAAAATGCGTGTAGGGATGTAACCGGTAGTAAAAGCGATAAAAAACGCAACGGCGTATTTTATCGCATTTACCACGGGGAGTGAGTATTTGAGGAATTGTTTGGACTAACTCCAGCCGCACAATTTCACAATCGCACATCGCGACAAAACTCGACTACCGCCTTTATGAAAGAGCCCACTCCTTCTTAAAAGGCCGGCAACGCTCCTGGCGTTGTAGTTGTTCATAGGCGGCGGTAATCTCTTGCCATCAGGTGAGCCGGACCTATGCCTGTCTGCCTGTCTGCCTGTCTGCCTGTCTGCCTGTCTGCCCCCCCCCCTCCTATAAAAAACGACGGGTTGCACTCCGGGAGTGCCGGCAGAAGTGAAAACTTGAATATTAACGTTGTGCATTTTTGATATTTTGGAATGGTTAGGGAATAATTTTGCACGAATTGCTTTAATTATCAGTATAAAAGTACTATCATTTTTGTGGTAGAATACAATATTTATTCATTGCGCTATCGTACACAAACATGATAATTTATATTAGGTACATTCGCACAAGCGCCCTGCGCCATCTAAACGAAACAGCAGGTCATCATCATCATCATCATTACAGCCCTTCACAAGTCCACTACTGAACATAGGCCTCCCCCAAGTAATGGCACAAAGCACGGTCCTGAGCCACCTGCATCCATCGACTTCCTGCATGTCTTACCAGGTCGTCACTCCATCTAGTGGGGGGTCGTCCTACACTACGCCTACCGGTACGAGGCTGCCACTCGAGAACCTTTCTTCCCCATCGGTTATCGGTTCTTCGAGCTATATGGCCGGCCCATTGCCACTTCATCTTACTAATCCGTTGGGCTATGTTAGTCACTCTGGTTTTACTGCGGATATACTCATTTCTGAGTCTATCACGCAGAGAAACTCCGAGCATAGCCCTCTCCATAGCTCGCTGAGCGACCTTGAGCGTCCTCATACGGCCAGCAGTGAAGGACCACGTATCAGATCCGTAAGTCATCACTGGCAACACGCACTGGTTGTACAATTTAGTTTTTAGAGATTGAGGTATACCTGACGAGAAGATATGTCGTAATTTCCCGAGCGCTGCCCAGCCGAGTTGAATCCGTCGATTGACCTCTCGGTCGAAATTGGACTTACCTAGTCGGACTATTTGTCCCAGGTAAACGTACACGTCAACAACTTCGAGCATAGTGCTCCCAACAACTACCGGCATAGGTGTGACATGGACATTAAACATAATCTTTGTTCTGTTCATGTTCATCTTAAGACCTATCCGTTGGGAGGCACTATTGAGGTCATTGAGCATAGTGCTTAAGTCCTCCAGCGATTCTGCCATAAGGACTATATCGTCGGCAAATCGAAGGTGAGTGTTGTACTCGCCATTGATGTTAATACCGTATCCTTTCCAGTCCAGTAGCTTGAAAACGTCTTCCAATGCAGCGGTGAAGAGTTTCGGGGATATAACGTCACCCTGTCTTACACCTCTCTGCAGTTGGATAGGTTTGAGCTCTGGTTCTGTACTCGGATAGCCATCGTAGCCCTACTATATAAACACTTCAGCACTTCGATATACCGACAGTCAACTTGGCTCCGCTGAAGGGACTGTAGTACCGCCCAAATTCAAGTGTCAAAGGCTTTTTCATAGTCCACATACGCCAGGCAAAGTGGCAGATTGTACTCTTCAGTCTTCTGTATAATCTGCCACAGGGTATGTATGTGGTCTATGGTACTGAAGCCTTTTCGGAAACAGGCTTGTTCGGGAACAGCAGGTCACACAGTACTTTTTACGCTGGCATAAATTTTCGCCGCGCCGTAGAAAGGGAGGGGGATACTTCCTCTCCTACGCCGGGGCGGCTGTCTCTCTCTCTCCAACCGTCTTACGATTTTTCGATCAGGGTCACGTGTACTGACGCGAGTTGAACATTTTTTACCCATTACAAAAAGTGTACAACGCCGCTAAAGAAGTTTTCAGTTCAAAAAATAAAAAAATAATATTCTTTGTCGCTGGTTTCATTTAGAACGCTGCTGGAGCGGGCAACGCACTGGCACAGCTGCAGCACCTCCTTCTCACGCAGCACGGCGCGCACTCCTTGCTGCTACATACACAGGTGAGGGTTTTGATATAATTGATACTTTATTTTTTACGTTAGTACACTTAAGCTAGTGATTTTTTAAATTCATAATTTCACAAAATGGTAAAGAAAATCAGGAAATTTTATACTATCGCGGTCACCGCGTTTTTTGGCTCTAGAAAATCGAAAAATCATCCGATTTCGATGATTTTTTTTTAAAAATCTTCGTCTTTACAACGGATTTATGGGAAAATAGATTGCAGATTTCATATAGTTTTATGACTTTAAATGTAATAAATGCACTTCATCGAATATAATCGTTCATAACTTTTTCGCAAAGCGTTAAACGAAGTTTGTGTATTTTTATTGTTAAAACCAAAATAAAAAATGAATAAATGAACATTTTTCAATATTTTTTTTATTCAAAATGTTTTTTTTTGTGTAGATTTAAAAAAATATAACAACTTCATTTGATTATTTAAAAAAAGTTATCAACAATTACACGTGAATCATTTAAAGACTTGAAACTAATATAAATTTTCACTTTTTTATTCTCGTAATTTTTTCATAAATTCGCCGTAATAATAAAAATTTTAAAAAAATCATCGGAATCGGATGATTTTTCGATTTTCTAGAGCTAAAAAACGAGGTGACCGCTATAGTATAAAATTATTGAAAATGATAAAGGAAATGGAAATGAAACATGTAATATTATTCCTGTTGAAAGGTTGTCTGTGGTCATTAAGGTCTATCATATATATTATTTGAGTTCTTTCCAGGTGCAGCAGGCGGTGGCGCAGGCGGCCGCCCAGCAGCTGCAGCAGCTGCAGGCACGCGCCGGGCTCGCCCCGCCTTCCTCCGCAGGTATTACTTCTGTACAGCATCATTTAGTCAAAAAATAAGTTTATTCATATTCATATTCAAAATTTAAAATGCTGCTTATTTACATAATATGTATTGCATAAAGAAAATAGAAACGTGAAACGGTCAGTTTTACCAATGAGGGCTCTGGGAATCGGAGAAGTTTAATTTGTTAGGAAAATGTACGGGTAAGTTAGTTTACTTCTGTACTAGTACGAGTAGATAAATTGTATGATATCAATTAGATCAAGAATTAATAAACTTAATCTATAGATATTGCTAGGAGCAGAAAAAGTAAAAAAATAGTTCAATTTAGCGACATCTGGTGAACGGAAAATTATTAGCCCGCATTACTCCAGTAACCTTCATATATAAGTCAGAATAGACATTGCAGGCGTTACGTAGTGCACAAAGAGTCACGGGTACTCCGTGTTCCGTATTCTCTCATCTTAGCTCACCGGTATACGGTGTAACGTTTATGAGCTAAATGACTTAAACTGGAATTGCTAGAGATCCTGATTGGGACTTGAACCGTAGTGGTAAGTTAAGAAAGTCGTCGCGTCAATATTGAAATAAGTGTCTGTTCGTGTGGTCAGAGGCGCGGTCTCCGTCGCCGCGGCGCACCCCGCCCGGCGCCGGCGCGTTCCTGACGCCGATGACTCCGTTGACCCCGCTGACCCCGCTGACGCCGCTGACGCCGGGCCCAGGGCGCGCGCGCTCGCCGGGCACGCGCACGCCGCTGCACGCGCATGCGCACAAGCCCCGCGCGCTCGAGCCTGCTGCCGACGATACCGCCGACCTCGAAGAGCTCGAGCACTTCGCTAAAACCTTTAAGCAGCGCCGCATAAAGCTCGGTGAGCACCCTTTTCGCTACAATTCCTCTTACTGTGTTGGTCTAGGTATTACAGTTTAGATTTTTTTTCCTTGTATACCTAATTTATTTACATTTCTTGGGATTGAGGAATATGTAGTTGTTGCCACACGACAGATTACACTAAATAAAGAGCACACGATTTCTTTAATCGAACAGAACGTAACTCAAATGTACAATGTGTTTATTTTGCGCAGGTTTCACGCAGGGTGACGTGGGCCTCGCGATGGGTAAGTTGTACGGCAACGACTTCTCGCAGACGACGATATCGCGCTTCGAGGCGCTGAACCTGAGCTTCAAGAACATGTGCAAGCTGAAGCCGCTGCTGCAGAAGTGGCTGGAGGACGCGGACTCGTCGCTGGCGGGCGGGGGCGCGGCGCCGGGCCCGGGCGCGGCGCTGGCCGAGGCGGTGGGGCGTCGCCGCAAAAAGCGCACGTCCATCGAGTCGGGCGTGCGCGTGGCGCTCGAGAAGGCCTTCCTGCACAACCCCAAGCCCACCAGCGAGGAAATCGCCGCGCTCGCGGACGCGCTCTGCATGGAGAAGGAGGTCGTGCGCGTCTGGTTCTGCAACCGCAGGCAAAAAGTACGTGCCACACTCTTTTTTTATAGAAGAGAGGTGACAAACGTGTCTTTCTTTCTTGTTACTTTCTTGTTTTGTTGTTCGTGCAGTATAAAGTTCACGTTAAAGTAGTTCAAGAGTTTCCGCCAAGTCAAATGGCAGTATCGAGGTTCTATCCGTTGTAGTAATTCTTCTAGTTCAGGCAAGGAAGATAGTGTTGCTTAGAGGTTGCTCTGTGATGAAAACAATGAGATCTTATCATTGTCACTTTCATTCATTCCTCATGTCGCACTACTGTGTAACTGTGAAGGGGATACATTACGCTATAGTCATGTATAATCATCATGTAAACTGTTTTATTGCCGGTAATGATTAATTGCGTAATTAAAAGAGCAAGTTGAACATTATTCTTAACAATCAACTTTCTGATGTATTTCCGAGAAGTATATGTAGAATCCACGATGAACATTGTTAAATAAAAAAAGATAACATTGTTTTTGTGTATAGTAATAGGATATGACGTGATGATAGTATAATAGTGAAGATATGACGTGATGACAGTATAATAGTGAAGATATTATGAATGAGCTATGAGCGTGAGTGAGAGATGTAAGTAGGGACGATGGAGTAAAGGGACTTTGAAAAAGAGACAATCTGTTCGATTTGGCCGAGAAAAGACGAAGGTTGTGTAAGACGAATATTTTATAAGTAAAAGTTTTTGTAGAAAAGTGATAAATGCAAATGAAAAATATTTAGTACATTTAACGATATCTTCAAATTAAATAATAACGTTTGACTATTTAGTCGTAAAAGAAGTAAAAAGACGGTAGATTTTTATTTATTTACCTTACATGTATTTATTATTAATACTAGTATTAATTACGACTATTATCTGGTTCTTAACATGTCCTCATTTATACCCATATTGGGTATAATTAAAATTTTATCATAAATATTGTTTGACTTCGTCAGGAAAAGCGAATCAATCCCCCAGCGGGCGAGCCGGGCTCGACGGGGCCCGGCGGCCTGCTGCCGGCACTGCACGCGCTGCCGCCGCACTCGGCGCACCCAGCGCACTCAGCGCACAGCGCACACGCAGCGCACGCAGCGCACGTGCACGCGCACGCAGCACACAGCGCGCACGCGCACGCGCTGCAGGCGGCAGCGCTGCAGCCGCTGGCGCTGCTGGCGCGCGCCCCGCCGCGCGACTGATACCCCGCCCCCGCCCCCGCACATATCCTCTCCCTGTAAATAGCTCGCTGAGGCAAGTGTGTAGCCCGGACTGCATCATTGTATATAGCTGTATATCGGCCTCGGCCATAGTGACTAAGTTTATATTATGTGAAATTTATTTATGTTCAGCCGTGACCGACTCGTGGTCGCGCCCTGTACAGAGCTCATATCACTTAGCGCATAACGCGTATGTAAGGTGGATGTGTAGAAAACTGTCTATATGTTACAATAAAACATGATAGATAATACTGGCTTTTATTTCTTCCATTTAACTCTGTCTCATTGAACATGTGATTGTACCTATCTATCTAAGCAACTGTGTATTACTGATCGTACGATTACACAGTAATAGGTCCACAAAAAATAATACTCATGTATATCCCACATTCCCAAATAAAAAAATCTGCATAAAATCGCATGTTATGTCCGACCAAAAACTTTGAGATTTCCTTCGTACAGTCGCTGGTCTGAATCCGGCTCGAAAGATCACAAAAAAGGTGATTGATAACGTACATTAAAGTATTATATTGGAGGTTATACTTAAATATGTAAGTATAGTTGTTGAGTTAAAATATATACAATCTATAATAATAAATACATAGAAAATAAATATATGAAAACCATAGAGAAAAACCACAGTACCTAGTAAATTTGCAGTATTATAAAGTACGATTACATACAAAAAGTTAAGTTAAAAGAGATTCGTTCCCTGGAAGATAATGCACTCAACGATCGGTATTTTTTATAGCATTGAGTGACAAACGAGCACACAGTGAACCTGATGGTAAGTGAATGCTGTGGCCTATAAACATCCACATTTATCCACAATTACGAATCAAAATGCAAATGCGGACTAAGATGGAATGCCTCGATTCCAATAAAAAGGGTTTCCGGTTTCTCTCTATACTCACCATTCGGAACATAAACCTTCTACATTAAACCATTCGAAACTCAGAAGATTCGAATGGTTTACGCTGTTTTACGCTGGTATTCCTTGAGAGCGTAGTCCTTCCCCGGTCGAGCCTTCGTGCTACTGCCCTTATTTAGCTGCAGGATGGCTCTATCACGTAGAACAGATGTAGTCTCAGAAGAATGCGTTAAAATTGACGAACCTAGAAAGATTTGTCCAATTCTCATTACGCTGAGCAGGTGGATTGATGGGCGTCGAGCCGATACTCTCAGACTGACGATGCTGCTCCTCATCACCAAATTGTTGAATTTGGAAAGAGTATTTCCGAATGTGTGGCCATTCTTTGGTCGCCAGTGCCTCGTTTGTCCATGAGCAAGAAGCAGGACATGCAGATAATATTGGCTAGGCTTTAACGGCTAATATAAAGACCAAATTTGTCGAAATTCGTAAATGATAGCATCAAAAGTAAAGAAAACAAAATTGACTACATGTCGTTCTAATGATAACAACTTCAACACGAGTCACAAATAAGATCGCATCATTTATTAAAAAATATAACGTTTAACGCACCGGATCACATTATTGCAAATGGGATTTCCCTTTATTATTAATCTTCAATGAAAGGGGTGCAAGGAAGCAATATGATTGGCCAAGTGCTACTGCTCGACGCCCCTTGTTGTCTTCCCCTCGTCACCACTTTGATCGTCTATCATCATTCTTTACTAATTTACCGATTTACAAGTGATTACAGTGACATTTTGATATTTAACACGTTGAACGCCGCGCGGCCCACCAGTGGGCCTATAATGACTTTCCATTGGGGCCAAGTCAAAATCGAGTAATGCGTAATTTTTTACAACTTCAGATTTTTATACCAAAATTTGATTAATGCAGTGATATGCGTAGAAAATAAAAATAGGCAAAATCTATGGACTAGTTTAAGAGATATAGCAAGAGGCTCACCGGTGGGCCGCGTGGCCTCCTAGCAAGGTTTACAGAATTTCGGTACGCGGGGGGCCACGGGGTCACGCGGCTCACCACGCATCTTTCATCAGTGTATTGCCGTTTTAGCGCATTTGGCGCTAGAACTAGTGCAATTCTAGGGTCTATAGCACCTTTTTAAAATATCTAAGCGCTAAAAAATATCTAGTGAAATCTGGCGGAAAGTTTGATATAAGTTGGCAGCACAGTGTGATAAAAGCACTAGCGAGTCTATCGTTCGTGATCGTTCGGATACACTCCGACCAAAATGTTGCTGATGCATTAATTGTTTTACCTCCCTTTTGCATTATGGCATGTAGCTGTTTTGCTTTTCATTATATTAATCCTCTAAGTTTAGTACCTTGAACCAGGACTTGTTTTTCCCACGTTCGAGTTTCGTGTAAATTTTTTTGCACAGTCTTGTTTGTTTCGTGAACATTTTAAATGAAGTTGCCACCGAAGAACGCTTATAGCCAGAAATATAGATCTGAGTAGGGAGCAAATAGCGTGAAATTCAATTGGTCAAATAAGAAGGTGATGGTGATGATATAGTGAAAGACCGAGAAGAAAGAAACATACTCTGGAAAAGAAAAAGGGCTTGGCAAGAACCGTCAGAAGGAGATTTTGCTAAGGTTACGCAGACAACGTACCAATCATGGGTAACAAATAAGCTAAAGCAAAAACTACTACTAAAGGTATTACTACTAAGGCTTACCTTGTTTCCAATCCAAACAGAATCCATCTATAATGTTTTGTTTATAATAGTTCATTTTTAATTTGATTCTAAAAAGAAGTGTCATTGTAAGTTACATTTAATGATGATTTATATAGTTTAGTTTTATCGCAGAAGAGGCGTCATTATTATGTTCTGTTTATGAAGAATTTAATTATTTTAATTTGATTTTGTTGTAAAAGAAGTACCATGTTAAGTTCGATTAACTGATGATTTAATTATTTTTAGTTATTTTTAATGTAATAAGCACATAATTATTATTTTTTGTTTTATTCGCGCCATTTATACAAACAAAAAATAAGGCTCGTCACTAAGATCGTATTTAGGACTTTACCTTTGATACAACTACAATTCTATGGGATTTGAAAACCACGTCGACTGGAGCAGTCCAGGGGCCACGCGGCTCACTTCCATACGTGTTTTGTATAATAACTGCAATCTGTGGTTTGCGAGACCCGTTTACAGTGAACCTCTTGCGCGGCTCACCGGTGACTCCTGTGGCCTGAATGGAACAACTAGGTAAGGCTCACCGGTGACTCCCATGGCAGGAACGGAAAGTCTAGATTTTTTGCGTGGCGTTCAACGTGTTAAGTAACTTAACAGTTCGTAACGGTACTGGCCGATACCATCCAGTAGCCAGTTTGAAATAAATTAAATAATAAACATAGCTTTTTATTCTGAAATCATAAATTACACATTTATATATATTGATTGATGATATATATATTGACGATACTCTGTGGCAACCCAAGTGACAAGTTGTAAAATAATAGCTCCCAACAATTTAGTAAAATTAAATATTGTAATTTGATAATATTCACCTAAATTTTTAGTTACAGTTGTTAAATAATACTTAATTGTGTTGGTAATATAAGTAAAAGACATAAGTATTTTAATTAAATAGTGTTTTGTGTTTCAACTAAAAGTGACAGCTGTAACGAACATCGTTTGAACTTTCTGTAAGTTATTGTAATTTTCTTGTTATCCTTTTAATATTTTAAGATTTACCTTTTAAATTAGTGCAGTTTTGGATTTCAATTTGAATTATTTACCTGATAATTTAATTTGAGATCTGTAAGTAGACCCATAGATCTAGATATTAGCTTACTCTGTTTCTTCGGTTTTCTTTCTTTGTTTTATTTTGCTATTTACACATAATAGTAAAATGAATACACGCAACGCCAAAACGCGCCAAATGGAGAACCAACTTCAAATGGCGCTTCTAGAACTTAAGGCGTCAAAGGAGCAGTGTGAGCTGTTGCTTAAAGAAAGGGATGACAACGAAAAGGAAATAATAAATATAATTGCCAAAAATAGTCAACTAAAAAGTGATATGTTTAAGTTGCATAAAGACTACACAAATGTTTTAAAAGAAAGGGATCAGCTTCAGGAAATAGTCGATGAGTTTGACCGATGCAGCAAAGAATATGAGGACTCCCTCAGATTAATTGCTGCATTTCAGTTGCAGTCAAGTGAGGCTAATGAGCAGATTTTGCAATTAAAACAATACTTAGATGAATTGAAAGTGTCCCAAACTCAAAGTCTGTTCAATGAGCTCATAGAATGTAAATCTTCAAAAACATTGCATCCCTCCACAACAATTGATTTGACTGGTGATGAAAATTAAAGAAATACATAAAAATTAATAAATATGTTAGGAAAGTTCAAAAGTTAATTAAAACAAAAATTAATACAAATAATTATATAAATATATGTAAGGAAAAGCATGTATTAATTAATAAACTTAAATTATATGCAATTGAGGTGGAAAATATGAAAAACTGTGACTGAAATAGAGTGTCTCAATTCAGAAGTTTTGTCGCTTAAAAACTCCTTACAAATTATCTCAAATAAATATGCATCGGCTCAGGTTAAGATAAAAGAACACATATTGGCCATGAATGATCTGGTAAAGTCATGTAAATACAATGAGGAGCGCTTTGACTCCTTAATAAAACATCAGAGTGAGAATCAACGCTCCATACCATGTTCATCGGGGACAATATGTGTAAATAGCAATGACTCCTTATTTTCACCAACACCATAACACAGAACACAGAATAAAAACTTAAAAAGTAGTTTAAATATTAAAAAACATAAAGTTATTATGTATTGTGATGACATAGGTAAAAATTTGGGCATGATGTTAAATAACCATTTAAAAGGACAATTGATTAGTAATTATTGTATGCCTGGAGCATCCTTTAGTCATATAATGAATAAAGTTTTAACCAGTAAGTTTTCTCCTAATAGCACATTAATAATTCTTGTTGGGAGAAGAGGCAATGTAAACAAAAATCAATTATTAAAATATATTGATTACTTCAATACTTTAAATGTACATAAAATTATCTT